GGGGCGGCCAGTCCTGAGCCAGGGCAGCCCTCGCTCCTCCGCGCACCACCGTGGAGGGGCCGCGCTACCCTCGCACCGGGCCCTGTTCGTCGCGAGGGCCCCAGGCCGGGCCCCCACTGGGCGGGAGGTGCAGGTTGGGACCTCCCCTGCCACGCACAGGCGCCCCGTGGTTGGACCGGGAGGAGCGCGCCTGCGCGGGCATCGGCCCGACTCTGCGGCGCCAGGGGGACATGGAGGCCGTGTCCCAGCGCCTGGCGGTGGCTCTAAGTGGAGCCCGGTGAGCCAGGACCGGTGGGCAGTGACTGCGTGGAGGGGACGATGACCAGGGCCCACGTGGCTCCCTGGAGGCCAGAACTGGACCAGAACCCCGCCGGGTGTGGGCACCCAGCCCTCACGCGCTCAGTCCGCCAGCACCTGACGGACCCGCTGCACGCGCGGCTTGGGCTAGGCGCGAGGGCACCTGGCCCGGTACCGACTGGCCGACAGCGAGGGGCGGGGCGTAGTCCGCGGGAGGCGGGGAGGCCGGGAGTCCAGGGGCCAGGGCGGGAGGGCGCAGGGGTGCAGGCCATCCAGCCGGGTAGGCCGAGGGGAGGGGCGGCCGCACCAAAGGTACTTGGCCTTCACCTGCCAGTCCAGGTGCCGTGAGCAGGTGGAACCCAAGGTCCTGAGCTCGCCCTACCGGCCACAGCCCGTCCTGGGAGACTGGGCCCGCTGAAGGTGCTGGGCCAGGGCCGCCCCTGCCTTCCAGTGCACTGCGGCTGCCCTGGGGGCTGAAGTGCTGCCCCTCTGCAGCCATGCCAGCGTGCCCACCTGTGTGAGACAGGGACCCCGCACTTCTCACACCAAGCACCTGGAAGGGCCACGGGTCCCGGCAGGTGAGTGACGCGGAGCACAGGGTGAGGAACCGCTTTGGAGGAGACAGGATAACTGCCCAGGAAGAGCCTGTTTAAGGATGAGCTTTCAACCTAAGGCGTGTGACCATTTCAGGTGACACTGGCCTGGGAAGGGAGGGAGCCTGTGGGCCATTTGGCTGACGTCATTTGTCACTAACAGCTGGTGATCAGGCAGGTCCAGACTGCCAATGACCCCAACGTACCCGGGTCTGGGGGAGGGCTGGCAGAACGCACACCTGCGGGGCCTGGGGAACCGGAGGCCCCACTTTGCCCTGAGCCCCGTGGTGAGACCACGGCAGGTGCTCCCCATGTCTGCGGCTGTCAGACACACCACTGCTCCAACCCGGACCTGCAGGAGGCACAGGAGCCACGCTGCTCCGGCCAGGTCAGTGCAGAGCATGGCGCCCAGAGGTGTGCAAGGTGCGGCTGACTCCAGGGAAGGGGAAAACGCAGGGCCCCGCAGCTCTGCACTGTCGCCCCTCACTGGGCTGCTCCAGGCCTGCTCTGCTGTCTCAGAGCCCACTCCAGGCCAGACCCCTGGTGCCAACGGCCAGCTCGCACCCTGCCAAGGCGTCGGGGACCCTCTTCACCCAGAGCTGCCCCCAGATGGGGTCACAGGTACCGTGCAGGTCCCTTCCCAGGTGGAAGCTGTCCTAGCACCCGCCGGGCAGAAGTCCAGAGCCTGGTAAGTGGGCAGCGGTCCCATGCCGGGATGCCAGAGGGCGCTCCAGGTGAGGGGACAGACGCGTCACGGCCCACCCATAGGAGCTGGGCACAGGGCTGCACCGTCCGTCAGGACTGGAAGGAGCCAGAACGTCCGACCATATAAGTTCGCTTAGTGACCTGCAGCCGTCTACCCCACGGCAGGCCTGGGCCTTGCAGTCTCGGCCACTCCACTGGAAAGTCAAGGGCCCCAAAGAGCTTTTGGGGACAGAGTTAGAGCCATCGCTTTTTACCATCTTAGAAATGAAAACTGGGGAATTTTAAATACTAACTTGTTTTAAAAAGGTAATAAACCCATTACATTTTAACAGACTTTTTAAAAGTATTTTTTTAAAACTAGAGGCATGGCATTGTTTTAGGTTTTTGCAAATCTTACATTCTGGCTTAGGAGTGGCTTGGCTCTCATGCATTCGGTCTGGTTTTGGTGCACTGTTTCGGCTAAAGCATATGGAGAAAATCTGACTTCATACAGGTACGTAGGTTGAAAAAGAAAGACAGCTTCTACAGGCTCTCAGACAAGGATGCACGCTCTTTGAAACTCTGCAAAACCAGACAAGTGGTGGTTCTGTGGAGGTGCTCAAGGTGGGGCCTAAGTCTCATCTCTGCGCGGTCTCTGCGCACTGAGAACCGCGGGTCACCTGCTCTGGGACAGACCCACCTGGCACGCTCCGTGACAGCTCGCGCGTCATCAGACATGTTTCCTGAGCTGTGCAGCCACTCTAAACACAGGAAATCTCTGTAATATGAAAAGGTCGTGGAGGTCAAGTAGGGATTCTCCCATCTAATAGGTCCATGTTAAGCAAGGTCCTGTCAGGGAGTACGAACTTCCCAAACTCTGTGTTGCTAGAGACCCTCAGACGCCACCCTCGGCAGCAAATCCCGGCAGCTCTCCCTGAAGCAGGAGGCCGACTAGCTCAGCTTTGAACACCCAGGTCTATACAAGCAACCAGGTTTCCGACAAGTCTTCCCTTTCAGTGGACATGGTATTCTGGGCCGGCTCCGTGGCCTATGCAGGGAGCTCGATCTCACGTGGCCAGCCACAGTTTGAATCCTGGCCACTGGGGCTTGAAAATACACACGGTATGCATCCTACGGGCCCAAAGCCCCAACGGGATGGAGCCAGAGAAGGGTCTGCGCATGACCACCCACGGCGTGCGCTCCCTCTGGTGCAGGTACTCTCTGGCAGTGTTTTTTGGAAAAGAAGGTACCCCCTGACCAAAAGCAAGGACTTCAATTCCCAACTCGCAGGGCACCACACGTGCTCTCCCAGAGATGGCCCCACTGCTTCACCGTGTGTGGCGTGTGCAGATCACACGCGAGGCACGGGATGCCAACGACACGGCGGGAGGACACCTCCGTGTTCGGGAGGACTGCCTGCTCGTCACGGGGTGTGGGGAAATGAGTGAGGGGCCTTGCCGTTTCGTGGTACTCCCAGTGGTTTACGATGAAGGTCACTCGGGGCTGTCCCGGGACACCGGGAGAGCAGGCAGGCAGCGCTGGGTGCACGTGGCTGGGCTGGCCACACGGATGGGACCAGCCTTTGCTGTCACTGTCTCTCCAGGTTTCCTGGTTATTCGACAACAGACAGGGGCTTCTGCTTTACCAGGGACAGTTATTATTGCTTGTAAAAAACTCAACCGCAAGCTCGGGCAGGCATTCCTAGACCACAAGGCGAACTGCTTAAACTTACATCACTGCAGTTTATCCGCCTCCATGTCAGGGAGTTTCAGGGATGCCAGTCGTGGACAGCTTAGAGCCCAATTCTGACATCACGAAGGAAAGGACTCACGGAGCCGAGTCCCAAACGTAGCTGTGACCCCCACGAGCACACCATTTTATTACATAAGACAGTTTCTGAACAAGTGCACGGCGGCCAGGGTCACTGGTGCAGCCCCCACCACGAGGACCCCGATGCTGTCTCTGGTCTGGTCTGGGCTGGCCATGGACACGGTTCAGCCACGTGACT